TCTCTGTGTTTTCCTAATGGCTAAGGATGCTGAGAACTTTTCTTTTTGAGACAGCATCTCCCTGTAGCCCCAGCTGTTCTGGAACTCACTATGTAGACCAGGCTGGCCTTGAACTCACAGAGATCTGCCTGCCTCTGCCTCCCGAGTGCTGGGACTACAGGTGTGCGCCACCACACCCAGCGAGAACTTTTTAAAGTGTTTCCTAGCCATTAGTATTTCTTCTTTTGAGAACTTTCTGTTTAGCTATGTAGCTTATTTTTTTTTAATTTCTTTTTTTGGTGTTTAGTTTTATGAGTGCTTTGTATATTCTAGACACTAATCCTGTTCTGGTTTGTTTCTTCATTGCTGTGACAAAACACTCTGACCACTACCAACTTGGGGAGAAAAAGGTTTATTTAGCTTACATATCCTGGGTCACAGTTAATCCTGGAGCCCAGGTTAGGAGCTCAGGACAGGAACCTGCAGGCAGGAACTGGAACACAGGCCATGGAGGAGTGCTGCTTACTGGCTTGCTCCCGTGGCCCCTGCTCAGCCTGCTTTCTTATACAACTTAGGCCCATCTGCCCAGGGGTGGCACCACCCACAGTAGGCTGGGCCCTCCCACATCATTCAACAATCAAAAAGATGCCCCACAGACATGGCCACAAGCCAGGCCAATGGAGGCAATTTGCCAATTGAGGCTCCCTCAACCCAGGTGTGTCAAGTTGACACTAAAGCTTTCCAGCACACTATGGTAAAAGGTGGTTAGAACAATTCTATGTTTCGGCTGGGTGTGGTGGCGCACGCCTTTAGTCCTAGCACTCAGGAGGCAGAGGCAGGTGGATCTCTGTGAGTTCAAGGCCAGCCTGGTCTATATAATGAGTTCTAGGCCAGCTGGTGCTACAGAGAGACCCTGTCTCAAAAAGACGAAAAAAAAAAAAAAAAGAGTAGTTTTTAGAAAAAGACAAAAAAGATGCTCTGTGTCCTAATAGGAAAAGCCAAGGTACACTTCATTCTGGACCTTGGTTTCTTCATATAACAATGTCCATTGTTGTCCTTAAAGGAATTACTGTATTTGCCTGTGTAGTAGATAAGCAACTGGTAATACTGGTTCCTCACCTAGGGTAAAGGGGTGGCTGGGGAAGAGATGAGAGGGGAGAAAGCTTTGTCCTCTTCAGGTAGCTTGTACTTTGAATTATTATTAAAAATAGTCACAAAAACAAAATATCCTTGCCAGTCAATGTTATTGTAGCAGTGTTATGGCAGAGAGTGGCCTAAGCCAGCAATTTGCAGATTTGGTGATATAATCAAACGCACAGGGACCTTTTTCTTTTTTGTTTTTGTAACCCGGTGGCAGCCTCGTGGCCCCAGGAGAGTTCCTAGGGGATGTTTTTCAAAATAAAGATTCAAGATTTATTTTTTGGAGGGTGGGGTTAAAGGTGACCTCACACTTATAATCTTACTGCCTTAGCATCCCAAATACAGACTTTAGATTTTAGTTTACAGATCTGAGGCTGAGGAAATCTGTGTTTTAGAAAAGATACTAGATATTCTAATGTTTTTAAAAAATTTTACTTAATACTTTTATGTGTATGAGTGTTTCTGCTTGCATGTATGTCAGTGCACCTGTGTCACATAATGCTCTCAGAGGCCAGAAAAGGTTGTCGGATCCCCTGGAACTAGAGTTAAGGACCATTGTTAGCTGCCGTGAAGGTGCTGGGAACTGAACTCAGGTTCTGTACAAGAACAGCCACCGCTCTTAACTGCTAAGCCATCTCTCCAGCCTCTACTTTTTTCAGCTTTTAAATTGTGTGTATGTGTGTGTGTGTGTGTGCATGTGTGTGTGTACACTCATGCCACAGGCACGTATGTGAAGGTCAGAGGACAATTTGTAGGAGTTGGTTCGCTACTTACACGAAGTGGGATCTGTGTCTTAAATTAGGCTTCGCAGCAAGCATCTTTACCCACTGAGCCTCTATCTCACAGAAATCCGCCTGCCTCTGCCTCCCATGTGCTGGGATTACAGGCATACACCACATGTCAGCCTCAACTAAAAAAATTTTTATTTTTAAAAAATGTATTTATTTTGGGGGTTGGAGAGCTGGCTCAGTGGTTAAGAACACTGGCTGTTCTTGCAGAAGACCCAGGTTCAAATCCCAGCACCCACATGGCACCTGACAACTGTAACTCCAGTTTCAGGGGCTCTGATGCCCTCTTCTGACCTCCGAGGACATTGCACAACACGGGTGCACTCACATACATGCAGGCAATACACGTGTACACATAAAAAATAAAATGTTTTAAAAAATAAAATATTAAACTTAATTTTACGTGTATGTGTGTTGTCTGCATGTATGTAATTGCACCTATGTGCAGTGCCTGTGGATGACAGAAGAGGGTCTCAGATTCCCTGGAACTGGAGTTATAGATGGATGTTACCCGCCATGTGGGTGCTAGGATTCAAACCGAGGTCTTCTGCAAGAATATCCAGTGCTCAGCCCCGGATTTATTTATTTTTATGTCTATGAGTGTTGTTTTTTTTTAAATGTGTATGAGTGTAATGCCTGTATATATAAGTACACCCATGTTGTGCAATGCCTGTGGAGGTCAGAAGAGGGGATGAGAGTCCCTGGAACGCAAGCCCCGCCTCCCCACGTCGGCTCCGCCTCCCCGAGCTGGCCCCGCCCTTCCGTACCAGCCTCCCCGTAAGGGCCGCGCGTCCCTGTGCCGACCCCGCCTCCCCGCTTACGCCTCTTCCTCTGCGTCTTAGCTGTACAAGTCCCACCCCTCACCACGTACGCCCGAGCTCCAGCGTGGGTCCAGCTCTCGCCCTGTAGGCTCTTACCGCTCTTACCGCCCTCACTGTGTAGTCCCCGCCCCTCGCAGCAAACCCTGGGGCTGCAGCGTGCGACCTGCCCTGGGTCTGTAGGCTCGCCCTCGCC